CGCCATAGCCTGTAGAAATTAGGATAGGACTATAAGGATAGCTTGAGGATAATGGAGGTTAGCAAGAATGGGATTGACATTACTTACCCAACCACTTTTAAGGGGAATCATTATGCAAGGTGTTCAAGCATGATGCATGAATCGATCTTACGAATCTGAGTACAAAAGATTTATACAATCAAAAGTACTAGATTTTTAATACATAGGACAAACCTAATCATATTATCCGCCACAAACTTTCAAATAAGATAGGATTGAGGCTAGATTAGAGGAAAGAAGAAAGAAATTTGAACTTTTAAAATATCAAGTTTACTTTCCTTGATCCAAATCATTTTGAAGGTTTTCCAAAGTAACCTACAATGATCTTAGATAGGACCTGCTCTGATACCAGTTGTGGCAGAACCTCCTAAGAAATCGGGCCCACGTGCACCTATCGATGTCTCAACAGACCTCAGATAGCGTACACAAGTTCCCAACAACTTAACAGGTCTGTCGGGTGTCCTCGGGAAACCCGAATCATCCATGTTTCAAACAGGATTCCAATCACAGCCATTGCAGATTACAACATTTTTCAATATACATACCAGAGGTAATAAAGCGGAAGACTTAAGTTTAATATTACAAACCAGTGGTTTCAAACTTACATAACCATAAGTGTCATACAACCATAGTAGCGAGATAATATTACATTAACATTATTTATTTCACACAAACTAGTGCCTTGTCCAAAGGCCATTCATCATTCCTCATCGTCATCGACTTCATACATCGACATGCAAAGCAGGGGACCAAAACAAGCTCATGCGCATGCGTCTCCCCCAACAAGGGTTAACAAACCCCGAGTACAAAAGTACTCAACAAGACCGACCACCAAAAAAGGGCGAAGGTCTTAGGATGTTTGGTGTTGGGTCAAGGTAAGGATGTAGAAAGATTCAAAAATTCTTTGCCAAAAGCTTACTATTCTTGATCCTAGTTTCAAGTTTTACCACTAAGTATTTTAGTTCAATATCTCCAACTAAGTGTTCATATCCCATGTTCCAATCCTTCTCATTCCATTCTTTTTCTCATGTTTTAGTAATTCACCAGGTCCTACATTGCTTCTATAATAAATCGAGTCTCCATGTCCATGAGCACCGGCAATTCAATTGATTCAAGTCCCAAATGGGGATTCCCGATCACACGACATATGTAGAACTTAATCTTGCATATATCAACCTCGCTCACGGGATCCTCCGTATTAAGCCGTCTCCACGCCACCCGAGAGTACAAAGACACCTCAAATCCGCCACATTCAAGCCACGAGGGTACACGCTTCTCCCGCCATCTCACCACTCCCAAATCAAGTGGGCATTCGTCTTAGTATCGGATTAGCCAAGTAGGCTTACCGAGTATGTGACCAAGATTACAAAGTGTCTCGTTCGTAAGATCCACAATGAGTGGCCTTTAAGCGACATAGTCGGCAACATTACCAAACATTCTAAGATAAGCCACCCGACTAGTCTCTAGTTCATTCTATCTTCTTTCTTTCTTTCTTTGGCCAAGATGCCATCTTTGATTGTATCGAAACTTTTACTTTGAAAACCTACCATAAAGCATACTAAGCAATTCTACGCCTTTGTAAATGAAAACATCTTCAAGGATGGTAAATAATTAACAAGGTAGGTAATGCATCAAGTAGGCAACATTTGAAGTAAATCAACTTAATGCAATAAGTAACATAAGTGATAAACTTTTCAAAGTAAACAAGGTAATGGTTTAATGCATAAACCGGGCTTGCCTTCATTGGCGATCTCGTGTTCTTTGATCGCACCACAATTACCAAATCCTCACGACAACCGGGTATTCTTCCAAAGACTTGTTCAACTAGAATCGTTTCACTCTCGGTTTACACGAAATGATAACATATGCTTTAACATGATGATAATGTAAACATGATGCTTTCACGGTACATGAAATGTAACAACACCCATAAATGATTTTATTTCACGATGCACTGCTGCAAGCCAACAAAATCAACTTGCAATCCTACCATCAAAAACCATACATGGGACTTGACCAAATGGATCTTGAAACCCTACTGGTCACACCACACGACCCAAATCGAGATCAAACCCTAAACCTACACTTAGGGTTTACCTTTATTTATTTTTGAATTAATTTAGAATTAAGCTCAAAATGAACTTGCTCTAAATGATCTCAAAAATTTACACAAGCATCCTCATGATAAATTAGTGTACCAAAATAAATTTCATAATTTTTGGAGTTTTACAAAGGCCTACAAAAATCATGGAAATTGCATTTATTAATTAATTGACTGAATTTTTGAACATTAAAATTCATCCAAATTTCAAGTTTCATATTTTTAAACCATAGTAGAACATATATAGAAGCTACCCACAAATTTTCAAAATTTTTAGATCTGTAAATAAATTCCTACAAAATTGCAAAATTGTCACACTATTCAAAATTCGTAAATTAGAAAAAGCTCATCGTTTCTCTCTCTGTCTCGACAGTGTCACCCAGCGATGTCGGGCGTCACACAGAGACAGGGGCGTGGCGGCGCTACCGACTCGGCCAAAAAAACACGCCGTCGGCGAGGCTCCCATGAGGGGACTGGTACTAACATGATCACCACCTCACGGCGGACCTATCCCGACCCTTGGACAAGCAAGAGGCACACCGGAGATGACACTCACGACGGCCATGCGGCCACCACGGCGGCGATAAACGCGGCGGCACACACACAACAGATCACCGGCAACAACACAAGAGAGTCTAAAGCGAAGGGTGAAACACGATCGGGGACTCACCACGAACACGTTGATGTGCTCGGTGGAGTCGGAGACACTGAACGCCCCAGCCACGACGAGCTTGATTGGTGGCGAGCTCCGGCCGGGCTCGGGGAAGAAGCAGTTGCGCCGGGCGACTCCGGCCAACCCAAGTGGCGTAGGCAAGCCGCAGAGAGGCGCAAGGCCGAGGCGATCACGTAGGCGTAGGCAAGCACGACGAATCTTTCGCTTTCGACGGAGGCTATGACGAGCGGCGGAGCAAGCTAAGCGGCGGAGCAGAAGCGTAAGGGGAAATGGGAGGAACGACGGTGGCAATGAGGCTATTTATAGCCGGATGAGCTCGCCCGGCCAAGCGACAAATAAGATTTACGACGAGAGGCGCCACAGCGACGACGGCGACGCTCTGCATGCAAGCGGCGCGCAAAACGCTCGGCGCGGCGGCAGCGTAAGGCGTGGCATGCCAAGAAGCGGCGATGTCAATCTTAATTTTTGAATTATTTACTGAATCGCCAATCGAGTCTATTTTTCAAATTACTCTCAAATTTTCTAAAGAAGTTGAAAATCTCCAAAAATGAAAGTTGCTCAACTTTTCAAGCTCTACAACTTTGCTTCAAGGAACATTTTTAAATTTTGCCTCCATTTTGAAATTTGAATTTGGGCTGCATTTGAGTATTTGAATCATTTCAAAATTACTCCAAATTTTATATGTAAACTTGAAAAACTTTGAATACCAAAGTTGATCCTTATAAAATAAGCTCCAACTTTGCTTTTTGCCAAAACTCCAAATTCCAAATGGATTTTGAAATATCCAAAAGGGGCAAAACAGACTTTTATAATTTAAATTTGAATTCAAATTTGATTTGTCTTTCTTTTGCTTTAACTTTGATTTTTGACCAGTAACATGGCCCATTAGGGTTGTTTGAGTCAAATGACACATGGTCTCACATGATCACATGAAATTTGACCCTTGTGGTCATGATCTTTGTTTAACGTTTTGAATCACATTGCATCACATAAAATAACAACTTATGAAACAAATCCTATTTAGTGAATGCATTCCAAATTTTCTTCTTTATGAATGCTTTGCAATGCATATGATGACATGCCAAGTTTTAGTTCTAGGTCCAAACACCAGAGGTGTTACAATAGTCTACCACTTCATGGACACTATCCATACTAATGAATCACATATAAGCCAATAACCATTGACGGTCCAAGTTCCATTCCAAACTATCTATCCCCGTATGAATGCATGGGGTATCCTTCTAGCATCTTATAAAAAAACAAACCCCACTAAATTTGAATCCTATAATTCAAACTATTAACATCATTCCCCACTAATTGCCATATCGTCCACCCACTAGCTTTCAATCTCAACTAGTACAAGTTATCCACATCATCCCTACTAACTTCCAATCTTTTAATGCAAGCTATCTATGTCATCCCCACTAAATGCTAAAATTGTCCACGTCATCACCCACTAAGTGTAAAAGCTATCCACATCATCACCCACTAAGTGCAATTACCCTATTTTCATTCTACACAAAGACAATTCTTGCACATCATGCTGTTTGCTTTGTCATCCGAACATCTTATAATCCAATCTAATATTCTATTAGTCTTTTATTGGATTCTTCCATTGCCTTGCTTAATTTTGACCCGATTCATGAACATGTAGGTCCAGCTCAAATTTTTACTGGATTCTAGCTAATATTGAAGTCACGAACACATTTTCTTAACCATATTTTTACTTCCCATAATGTCTTCATAGAACTTCATATCTTGTTCTTGATCTGGATTTTCAGTTTATATTTTTCTTTGAGGAAAAGATTTCAGTTTATATACTCGTATAAGTTAGAATAATTGTTTGCTATACTATTATTATATATATATAAAAACAGGCTAGGCCTGCGACAGGCACTGGGATGCCCAGCCTAGATAACCATAAGGAGCCCGGTAGAGTTAGACTCAACAAGAAATGTATTTTCAGCCCACTCATGAATACCATCCAGCCCAATATCCATCCAGGCCAGGCCACTAAACTGGACGAATGCTCTTCACGGCCTCACCACCGTGCGCATCTATATATAAGCTCCCACTCCCACGCTCACCTCTCTCTAAACCCTACCCGCCTCCGCCGCCGCTCCGCCTCCGCGCATCGCCCGCCGCCGCCGCGCTCCGCGACCTCGCCGACCAGCCTCAACTTCAACCATGGTGAGTTCCCCGCCAAAACTCTATCCAGCGCCAAGATCCAGCGCGTCCCTATGACTCGCACAAGGGCTAATTCGTGTTGCGCAGGCGGACGTCGATGTGGAGCCGGAGGTCGCCGCCGGTGCTCCCAAGAAGAGGACGTTCCGCAAGTACAGCTACCGCGGCGTCGACCTCGATGCGCTGCTCGACATGTCCACGGACGACCTCGTCCAGCTCTTCCCCGCGCGCGCCAGGAGAAGGTACCTTTCGTGCCACGATTCGTTTGTTTCCGTGGGATTTTGGTTTGCAGAGATCTGATCTGATGTGTTTGTTTTTGTAGGTTCCAGAGGGGTTTGAAGAGGAAGCCGATGGCGCTCATCAAGAAGCTGCGCAAGGCGGTCAGTTTCCAACCGCTTAATTTTCATTACCTCTTTTTGTTAGTGTTTTAGTGTGGTCCGATCTAGATAATTGCGTGGATCTGTTATGCTCTCATGATTATATGATGCTTATTAGATTATTCTCGGATTTTTTTGCATGCTTGTGTTTTTTGTATTTAGCTAGAAGTATTCTAGAAAGTAGGAACGTTGTCTGCTCGAATGAGTTAGATGCGTGTTCTCTGAATTTTTTATCTGTATGATTGTGGTGTAGCATGCTTTTTTTTGTCAACCTGGTTTTCTCAGTGGCAAAGATTGGGCTTAAAATTGGGGGTGGGGGTCGGGGATGCACCAAATACACTGTATTATAAAGGAAATTCATGATTACTCGCAATTCTGATAAACTCATGCACCCCTGGGTTTTCTAATGACTTATCCTGTAGCTTGAATGTGTAGCAAGAGTGTTGCAATTATGAATCGTGAGTCTTATTATGTCTAGCAGGGTTAATTACTCTATTTTTTAGAGCTCTTATGTCATTTGTTCTGTTGTTTTTTAACTGGGATTATAGACAAATAAGCTTGTTGAAAAGCTGTCTTACAACCTGCCTTGCCCCAATTAGAGTATTGTTGTCTATTGAAGACTATTGGGATGATGATAGATCAAATTTCTATCCTGAATGTACCGTATTTTTGCTGCAGTTCTGTTCTGTGCCAGTAAGACGTGAATGTGCAGTATTTTTGCTGTAGTTCTGTTCTGTGCCAGTAAGCCGCTGTCAATGCAAGATTCTGTGTTGATTGATCTGATGGCATGTGAGGAAGTTTATTTACTTATACCTGATACACAATTTCCTCACTAGTTATCTCTCACTGCCGTGAACAGAAAAAGGATGCTCCTGCGGGTGAGAAGCCAGAGCCAGTGAAAACCCATCTCCGCAACATGATCATTGTCCCTGAGATGATTGGAAGCATTGTTGGTGTCTACAATGGCAAGACCTTTAACCAGGTTGAGATCAAGCCTGAGATGATTGGCCACTATCTTGCAGAGTTTTCCATCTCCTACAAGCCGGTCAAGCATGGTAGGCCTGGTATCGGTGCCACCCACTCCTCACGGTTTATCCCTCTGAAATGAGTTGTTACCCAGATCTGTAGTGTCCCAAGGGTCCAGTGGCATTGTCCTTTCACCTTTGCCACTTGTTTTGAACAAGTTACATACCCAAGACATTTTGTTCTGTTCCAGCTCTAGAATTCAAAGCTAAGCATTGCACAATAATGCTGTTTTGATGGAAGTATGTGAGTTAAATCGTATCTAAGCTGTGATGCTATGTTCTTTGTTGTTTCCATGATTTTGGGTTGTTTATTTCTGAAATTCTGAAGATGAGGCTTACAATTCGGGTGGTGTGCTGCGAGTTGCTTGACTGGATTTAAATGTGACGATTTGGATGGTTTGCAGCGAGTGGCTTGACTGGATTTAAAAATGACGATTTGGGTGGTGTGCCGCGAGTGGCTTGATTGGATTTAAGGGGGTGTTTGGCTTGGCTTTTGGCTTAAGCTTTTGCTTTCAAAAGCCAACCAAAGGCCTTTACCTGGACCATCAGCTTCTTCAAAAGCTAGCTTTTATGTAGTTCAATTTTCATGGCAAGGGGCAAGGGTCAAGCTGCTTCCACCTGCTGTAGGGGTGTAACTTTCATCAAAATTACTCGCAATGCCATCCATTACAGAAGAAAACGTTTTGTTCCTCTTCGTTCTTCCCCTCGCACCCGCTCGAGAGCGCTCACTCCACGCGCATCCGCTCGAGCCGGCCACGCTAGGGTTTCCTGGTGGGTGGCGGCGCACCTCGCCGGCCCTGCCCTGGTGTGCTCCGGCGTCGTCGGTCCTCTCCGTCCTCATCCAATCCTCTCATTCGTCGCCCCGCTCGTCGCCGCCGCCGGGAGTCCCCGTCTCGGCCGGTCGGGCTCCGCGTTGGAGCCCCTGCAGTTGCGCCGTCCGCTCCTCTCCAGCAACCAAACAGGTCCCTGCTCCATCGATCTACGCCTCCCGTGACCGGATCTGCAATATAGGAACGCCGATCTCTGATAAATGGTTCAATGAATGTTATTCATTCAGTATAGTGTGCTGTGTATGGTAGTTAGAAAGTCTGAAAAAATTATTTTGTTTGATTTAAAAATGGGTGACAAGGCAGATTGGAGTGATTTCTTTTTGAAGCATTTGATTGATATATGCAAAGGGGAGATAGAAGTAGGGAATAGGCCCCTAGGACTTTTCACTAGTACTGGATGGAAAAATCTCGTATCTAAGTTTGCAGAAAGAACTGGCGATGAGCGAACAAAAATACAGTTGAAGAACAAATTAGACAACATAAAAAAGGAATATGGATGGTCCATGGAGTTCAAGAATTATGCCACTGGACTTAGGATGGGACACGGCAAAGGGAACTATTGATTGCCCTCAGGAATGGTGGACTGAACACCTTGCTGTAAGAACTGAACTCTCACTGTTGATATTCTTTTTCATACTTTGATATGGTGTGCCTTGCTAAAATTTTTCATTCAATTTTAGAGATGCGATAACTGTGGAAAAGGACTAAAATGCAACCATGTGAGGTTCAGAAACACAAGGACTGAAGTACCCTGATGATCTTGATCTAATTTTTGGCAAGGTACATGTGACTGGGGCCACTGCATCCTGTCCTGTAGATATATCCTCTGATGAGGCAAGTGATGAGTACGTGGCCGAGGTACCAAAACCTCCAGAGAATGATGATGTCAAGCTGGCCGCTTTGAAGAAACCAGGGAAAAAGAAACGCAAGAGGTCTTGTACAGCTACCGAAGCCAAAGAAGAGAAGAGTCCATTTTTTCGCATGTACAAAAACACATGTTTGAAGATAGAAAATGCAGCAGACAAGATCTCCTCAAGTGTATCTGCATCATCAACTCCTCCAACTAATTTAGTCCCTAGTATTGGAGAGGCTATGACGATGGTCGAAGAGTGTGGGGTGGAAGAAGAAACCGCTCTAATGCACACTGCCACCATGTTGATCATGAAGCCTGAATTTAGAGATGTCTTCAGCCATCTAAAAACAAATAAAGGAAGGCTGGATGTGATTGAGAGGGAGCACGAAAAGGAGATGATGAGGCGCCAATGAACCAATTTTTATTTCTATTGTTGTCGTGTAAACCAATTTTAATTTCTATTGTGAGAACTATTAGTTGTATGGCTGTAACAAATAATTAGCTTATGCTGAGACTATTTGTGAGATTATTTCTTTGTGTGAGATTATTTCTTTGTGTGAGATTATATCCTTATGTGAGATTATTTCCTTGTATCAGATTATTTCTTTGTGTCAGATTATATCCTTGTGCATATACTGATGTATCCTAGGTCAATTGAATTAATAAATTTTAATATACTTTGTAGATGGATGACAACTTGGAAGGTGTAGCTAAAGAAGGACAGAAGGGACTAGTACTCCTAGCTGAGCTTTCCCAGCATGCTGCTGTTATTGGTCAAATGGGTGCATAATACATTGAGCGTTATTTTGACAAAGGTGAGTATAGGGAAACACCAGAAACTGGAATTCAATAGGTGATGAGGTGCTTTGCTCGTCCAAGGTACTTCTATAAGATGTTTTGAATGAGCACTGAGGTCTTCACAGCACTACATGAGCTGCTAGTATCTACCTACGGTTTGACATCCGCTAACACTGTTTCATCCATTGAGTCATTGGCAATGTTCTTGTGGATTGTCGGAGACCCACAATCATTTTCACAAGCTGAAAATCGCTTCACTCGGTCACTGTGGACAGTTCACACTAAGTTTCACGAGGTACTTAAGTGTTTGCGCAAGTTAGCTAAGGACAATATTAAGCCGAGAGATGCTAGTTTTTCTACGGAACATGAAAGAATCAAAGATGAACGTTTCTGGCCTTACTTCAAAGGCGCTATTGGAGCAATAGACGGTTCACATGTTCCCGTGGTTGTGCCAGCCGAGGATATGGTTAATCACACATGCCGTCATGGATATACATCTCAGAATGTGCTAGCTGTTTATGACTTTGACATCAGGTTTATCTTTGCAGTTGCTGGTTGGTCCGGTTGTGCACATGACACAAGTATCCTCAATCATGCATGGTCAAATTTTCCTTCATTTACCGTGCCACCTAAATGTATACACATATCCTTACTAAGGTAGCAGTAAAGTACTTGTATTATTATTTGCTTATATTGATTTGATTTTGTAGAAAAATATTATCTCGTGGACTCTGGTTTTCCAAACTAAATAGGGTATCTAGCCCTTTCAAAGGAAGCACATACCATATACTAGATTTTCATAATCATTCTGGACCACCCCAAGGGAAGTATGAGGTGTTCAATTTCTTGCATTCATCCCTTTAAAATGTCATTGAGCGGGCTTTCGGAGTATTGAAGGAGAAGTGGCGTATTTTGAAGGGTATACCAAGTTTCTCAACTCGTACTCAGAAGCATATCATCATTGCTTGTTTGGCATTGCATAATTTTATCCGTGACAGCAACTTACGTGATAAGGAGTTCGAGAGATGTGATGCTGATGAGGAATACTTGGTACAAGAGACAAGTGGCACAACACAAACACAGGGAGATGAGAGTGAAGATGTGGAGAATGAGGATACCATCAATACCATTCGTAGTAGAATAGCTGATGATTATTCAGGGATGACATTGGATGAGCCCTTATCTTTTGGTTCTATTTACGTGGACCATATCACTTTGAATGATAAAAAACTTAGAATAAATTAATTTTTCTTTTCCAAAATAATTATTTACATGCGAATAAGTGAGAGCAACAGTTATTTACGAGCAATTTGCATATAAATAGTCCCTCAGGCCTTTAGGGGCATTACAGACATTTCTTACACAGCCTACACTTCCACAGCTCCTTCAACCAAATGACTTTCAGCTTTTCCCACAGGTCTCAGCTCACAACAATTTTTTCACAGCCCATAGCTCACAACAGTTTTTTCAAAATCCACAGCTCAACAAAAAGGACCTAAATGTGACGATGTCAATTTACTGGGCGCCCCTTTAACATGTTATCTTTATCAGGTGTAACATTGTAAACCTTGTTGGCAGCCAGCAACCACTGAACATTGTGAGCCTCCGTTGCCTATCGTGATTTGTAGCACCAAGCTATATGAAAAAACTGTTGAGAAATCTATTGTGAAAAGCTGTAGCTGTTTGGTTAAAACAACTATGAAATCTATGTCGATCTCTTCACCCCTTTAAATAGCTGTAAAACGTCTTTCTAACTCTACTAGTGGTGTGCACTACGGTAAAATACACCACCTAGTTCATCTCTACTAGTAGCGTGCACTACGGTAAAATACAAAAGAAACACCACCTAGTTCAGTGCCTTCCTTGACAGCCGATTGGCTTGGCCAATGTTTCTATCATCAATTGGGTAAAAAGAATTTATGAAGAAAGTGATGGAGACGTCAAGATTGATGTGGTATATTAACAACCTTTATGCCAAAGATTTCAGTTAACAGCCTGTTCGGTTGGCTGGTTCGTATCGTTGCTGGTTCGTGAAAAGGTACTGTTGGCTGGTTTGTGTGAGAGAAAAATACTGTTCCGACTGAAAATTTACGATCGTTTACGACAAGCCACAGCCAAACGAACAGGCTGACATGTATTCTTCTATTTCCCCCCTTGTTTAGTGTTGTGTGACTGTGATGTATGAAATCGGATAGTCTCTTTTAGATGCTTGTAATACTATCAATGTCAGATGCCATTTTTCTATGTATCTAATGACCGTTGTAGATACAGTGCAAATCATCGATACTATCACAACTCAAATGTTGACTCCAGGGCCATGTTTAGATTGCAAAAAATTGCAACCTGATGAATAGTAGTGTTTTCGTCTTATTTGGTAAATATTGTCCAATTGTGGACCAACTAAGCTCAAAAGATTCATCTCGTGATTTCCAACTAAACTGTGCAATTAGTTATTTTTTTTACCTACATTTAATGCTCCATGCAAGCGGCTAAAAATTGATGTGATAGAGAGAGAGTGAAAAAACTTGGAATTTTGATGTAAACTAAACAAGGCCCAGGATTTGGAGACATACCTGTAGAGAACGGCGGGCATGGTCAGACTGCAGTGGACAGCGAAATTGGGACAGAAGGGCTTAACGGCGGCGACCGTAAGGTCAGGCGGAGACCGATTGTGCAGTTCGCTTCGAGCCGGCGACGGAAGGCCTATTAAATTCAGGTTATAAAGTTTTGAGGTGTCATATCGGGTGTTATATATATGTGTCGTATGTGGTGTTCGGATACTAATAAAACAATAAGAATCTGTTAGTAATTCACGAGACGAATTTATTAAGCCTAATTAATCAGTCATTAGCACACGTGTTACTGTAGCACCACATTGTCAAATCATGGACTAATTAGGCTTAAAAGATTCGTCTAGTAAATTAGCCACAAACTATGCAATTAGTTATTTTTAGTCTATATTTAATATTCTATATATGTGTCTAAACATTTAATGAGATAGGAAGTAAATTTTAGGAGGACGAACTAAACGAGACCTGAGTTCCCCTGTTTCAATATACAAGAAAAGTGGGCGCGCTTCGCCGCGCCTGCACATGTGTTGTGTGGCCTCCTCCTGCACTGCAGTGCATAGCTCTATTTACACTATTTTGTCGATGCATGTTTTAGACGTCGTCCAGTACACTTTGCTTCGGTAGACGTGTTGCACATGTGTTAAATTGCTGCCTGCTTTATCAGAACAATCATCTGCTAATTTAGCTGCCGACAAAAGTGATGCAGCTACAAACATGCTGCCATGGACTCTCGCTACATAGATAGATACAAGAGAATAGGAAGTGCCAATGAAACGAAAATATGCAAGTTTGATGATACTAAAAAAGCTCCCTATATTTGCATGATGCCTCACTGGCTGAAAACATTCCACCAACTACTAATGTCCAAGCAATCAGTGTACTCGATTTGCTCCTCTCTTGGCAAGAGAACTGGAGAAGAATCAGAGCTAGAGGAATGTACTGGTGACGACGATCGATGAACCTGAAGCATATTAAAAAAAATGACTCTAGATCCTTAAAGCAGTACAAAGATGTATCTGCCAACTGCCATTTAGTTACTACTGGTATTCACATTCTGAGAAGAGAAGCAAATCAAAAGAATATAAGGTATGCAGAAGTAGAAGGCACGTCCATTAGACAGTGATGAGGAAAAGTTCAGGAAAAAAAATTCTTTCATATATGCAGCAATGCTGTTTCAACCTATTTTCCTCGTATCTTCATTTACTCCCGTTTCCTTGCAAGAAGATCAGTGAATGTAAAATCCAACCGGAAACATCCACGAAGCGCCCACCTTTTGAAGATCAGCGTGCTAGTACCTGCGTTATGTGCTGATTATTCTGCCAGAGGTAAGGCAATCAATGGCCAAAGCTTTGGAGCAGCCAAGGATATGACGCATCAGGAATACATCATTTTTGCACCACCCAAATCGCAAATAGTAGCTTAATGACTGGTGATGAACGTTCAGAAGGACAGTGTTCATGGTGGCTTTTGCTTGGATTGTTAGGTCCTTGCGCTGTGTTGCAGACACAAAGGCACGGAGCGCCTGCACGCGTCCTGAACTCCGCAAACAAGCCATTACTAGTTGTTAAGCATGACCAAAAGGCGGGCGCTTCGGATGGTGCTAGGAAGTGCGCCTCGATTCTCCTAGCGACAATCCTTTATGCGATAAATTCGATAAAGTGCTGCTAAATGAATTTGAAGCGGTTTGTGCTATGTGGAGTGATGAGTGGCTTCTAGATCTTGAATGTACGTGATTAAGCATCATCATCTCTACTAAAATATACTTGGATACGAGGTCTTCTTGGAAAAACTCAAAATGAATAAGCTATTAGCTACTTATGGAGCCTGGGCGCCTCCTGACGCCCGGGGCGACTCGGGGGCACCCCAGCCGCCGCCGCCGCCGCCAGCGAGACCTCTCCGGGCTGCCCTTCCGGCTGCCGCTGTTGCTCCCTCCGGCGAGCGGCGGCGGCGGCGGCCAGCGGTGGTGCGCTCAAAAAGGCGGGCTGCTGCGGCTTCCTCTCCCTCTCCTGCTTCCTCTCGTCTCCTCCCACCTCGCCCTCCCCGAGCTCCACCATGGCCGGCGGCGCCCCTTGGCTGGCGGCGAGATCCCGGATCTGGCTGCCTACGCTCGTCCCGGTTGTGCGCCCGGCTGGATCCGTGAGATGCAGAGCCCGTAGCCGCGGGGGGCCTAGCAGCAGAGCCACCGGCCGCCGGCGTGCGCCGATCCGGCTCCCCCTGCTCGCCCCGACCTCGGCCTAGCCAGATCCGCGCGGTGCTGCTTCCATGTCGCAGGGGTGGCCTGTGGCCACCCATGGCCGGCTCGGCCTGCCACCCACCCTCCCTCCCGCGCTGTCGGCGGATGGTCCCGGCTTGGCAGGCCGGCGGCCGCGCCCCTCGGCTGCTGGTGGCCGGATCTGGCGGCTGCGCCCGCTCCCTGGCCGGGGGCAGCCGGATCCGGCGGCCACGTCCAACGTTCTGTCCGCGACGGCCAGTTCACGTGCGCCCGTGACTCGCCTTCCGCGGACGCCTGTGGCTTGGGTGGGGATGGCCGGGGGCTGTGTTGGCCGGCCCGCTTCGGTGCCTCGTCGTGGGGGCCAACGGCGTCTGCCTGCGCCGTCGTGGCCATGTGTGCCGTCGCTGGGATGCGTGGAGTTTTGGGCGAAAGCTCAGCTCGGCTTAGGCCGGGCGGACGACGGTGACGCATCAGGCGCCACGATGTTACCTTGGGTGTCACCTCTTTCTTAAAGGCCTCGCTGAAGAATCCCTTAGGCTCGCCCCTCTTGTGCTCGCCGTCATCTGCACCCCTTCTGTGCTGTTAGTTTCCGGTGGAGTTCCTCGCTGAGCCTGTGTGTTTCTACTCGCAATGGTTCCTCCTGCAGCAATCGACCTTGCCGTCGTCGTCTAGCTTTCATAGTGGATGCTTTGCCGCTATCGCTTCCTCCGGCGGATACTTTGCCACCGTTGTCGTTGGCCTCCGCTCTGACAAATGCTTTGCTGCCGAGTGTGTCATGGCCGTTCCCTGCGGATGCTTTGCCGCAGTGGGTGTCGTCGCTTCTTCCCCGGCGGATGCTTTGCCGCTGTTGCTACTTAGGGTGGATACTTTGCCACCATGTCATTGTTTTGTTTGTAGCGACCATTGTGTTGATGTATCTTTTTTTGCAGGCTCAGTTGGTAGGCTTCAGGTTTTTAGGACAGTTGCTCTTTCTTTTCTTCTTTATTCTTGTTCTTATAAGTTGTATTCCAGGTCACTCACCACTTGTTTGGTGGTTTGTAATCTGTGCTACGAGAGCTCTTATAGTTGCGTCATGTAATTCTCTTCGTCTTAATGATAAGCGGGTTATATTACCCGATCGCGAAAAAATAGCTACTTATGTTCTAGTAATACTATTAACACATACGGACATAAAAAATACCCTTTTTGCTTTTTAAATATTAGCAACAACCATAAAAAGGAAGAGTCCATGAGAACAAATATATTCACCACAATTATCAGAGGCATTATAGACAGGCAACATATCAGGTGCAAACCAATCAATCTGTACAAATTTGGAAACTACCAATCAGGACCACTGATGCTGATTCAATGGATGAGGTGAGGGGGCTTAAGCGCAAAAAAAAAAGCCGTCGGGTGGGGGGCTTAAGCGCAAAAAAATCCCACATCTCACCCCATCCATTGGATCAGCATTTAGTGGTCCTGATCGATAGTTTCCAAGACAATGTAGAATTTAGCTCAAAACGCCATGAGCTATGATATGGTATCCAAAAGTGAGGTTGCCTAACAAAAAAAAGTCACATCCTTTTATAATCTTTTTTTGGATTATGCAGTGACAGAGATAAAAATGAAAGCAAAAAAAAGTCACCTGATTATTCGGTTGTGTCAAACACCAGTTGGGTGACAGTTCCAGAAAAGATGAGAATTAAGAATAATGTTTGATCGCTCAATCACTTAAAGGAAGGGCAAGGAGTTGGCTTAAATGGACATGAGACACGTGGAATTTCACATGTATCAGTATCACGATGCCGGCAAGAGGTCGCTGATGTACGTGCTTTATTACAACTCAAAACCATGAGCCAACACATCTCAAAGCAAGATTATATAAAAAAAGTCACACTTTTTGGAAAAAGTGGTCTCTCCAGAGTCTAAAGCCAAAACCAACTTTTGAAAAAAAAGCCTCGACTAAAACAAAAGTCACTTACCAAAGCATAACAAAAACGATTGGCACTGTCGTATGGAGATAATATTGGTCGCTAAATTCTTTTACTAGTATTGTTTGGAATGGACAAGCACGTAGTAGAAAACCCAACGGTGAATGCTTTGGATGACATGACACGTACAAATTCTTGTTTTAGTGGAAATCGGAGGAGATCGCATAGAAATGGGAAAAAAGGAAACAAAAATGTCAGACATTTTGGATGCTATCGGATCCACTAGATTTTTTTTATCAATGTGGGCCCCACATATTCCTCTCCTTGCAGTTGGTCTCGTCAGCCTCTGTAGTTGCACTCGCGCCAAAACTTTTCGCCTTGCCTTTCGTCCGATGAAGACGACGGAGCCAGGCCTGAGCGGCGGCGGCCACCTCGCCGCCAAGCCCACCGACGACGACGACGAAGCCGGCATGGACCGCCTGAGCGCGCTCCCCAACAGCGTCCTGCTCCACATCCTCGCGGGCCTCGGGAACGCCGCCACCGCCGGTCGGACCAGCGTGCTCCCCAGCCGCTGGCGCCGCCTCTGGGCGTTGCTCCCGGAGCTCCGCTTCGTCCCTCTCTCCCCCGAGCCCGGCCTCATCGCGTCGGCGCTGGCTGCCCACGAAGCGGAGCTCAGGCACCTCGACGTGACGACCCAGGACGCCGCCCCCGAGCCCGTGGCGGCCTGGCTCCGCGTCGCCGTGCGCCGCCTCTCCGGCAGCCTCGTCTTCACCAACCAGACGCCGATGGGGAGATACGATGACGCCGACGCCGACGGCGAGGGGAGAAGCGCTTTCGATGAGCGTCCCCGTCGGAGAGACGACGTCGACGTCGACGCCGCCCAGGGACGAGGCGCGTTCGAGCTTCCTTGCCTCGACACGGCCCACCAGCGTCTCCATCGACCTGGGTCGCCTCGGCCTCACCATGCCACGCGCCGGTGCCTTCGCCCGGGCTCACCGAGCTCAGACTGAGCCGCGCCCGGCTTCCCGTCGGCGGCGGCGGCCCGTGCACTCTCGGCGACGCCGTCTCCTCCCGGCGATGCCCGTCCCTGCAGACGCTCAGAGTCAGCGACGCTTGGGGGCTGGACGACCTCACCGTCCGCTCTGACTCCCTCCGGCGCATGGAGCTGACCCGCGTGTGCGACCTGCAGCGGCTCGCCGCCGTCGCGCCGGCCCTGGAGCACCTGCAGGTGCTCGCATGCTTCTACAACCACTGGCAACGACGGCCGGTCGCCACCATCACGGCGCGCCAGCTGAAGGTGCTCAAGTGGGGAGATCTGTTCGATCGGAGGTCCGTCCAGCTTGGGAAGATGAAGCATCTCCGAAAAGTGTGCCTCGATCTGTTCTTCGTGTATGCGTTTTCGCCCAACCAGGGTTGTCTTGAGCTCTTGCGCTGCTTTAACAACATCCAAAAGCTTGGCCTCACACTGGTCTATCCACCGGTGAGTTCATCACTTCCTCTCTTTGTTTAGTTTGGAATTGTATATTTCATCATGATAACATTCTACTAGTTTTCGTTTGCCATTGAACATTCACACAAATTTTCTAACTTTCGAAAATAAAATTAAGTGATTGCCACACTATTTTTATGATGAAAGTACCCTAATCAAGCCGCAAGTTATGTGTTCAGTGAAATTTGTGGGTTCATATGCAATTGTATAGATGTTGAGAAGTTCAGCCATGAAAAATTACCACTTTTTTCCCCCTTTGCTCATGTCCCTGTGAAACATTACTGACAAATGAGGTCCAAAGTTTTTTCTTTACATGATTCGTTTAGGCACAAAAAAAACCTGATTTTCGAACAGGAAATAATCCAAATGAGATGTTTCTGGCTCTGTCCAAACTGACACGGTTCCCTGTTTTCATGGTGACTTCAAATGGACGCAGGAGATTAATAACAAACCATGCTTACTGAAAGACATGAAAATGCTCCCGGGCGTTACGGTTTTGAACCTGGATCTAATTTCAAACGGACATGCCTTTGGGGTCAGCTTATTCCATGTCCTCAGGTTGTGTTCTGGTACAAGAAAGTTGACTCTGCACATTTCTAGCAACAGCCTGGAGGTAAAGTTATCTGTTGTTTATATATATATGCATTTGCATTTCTCGTTGTTCGTTGCATGCTGATATTTTTGCTGCGATGTTCATCTGTTGTAACTATGTGGCTTATTTATGTCCTATAATGATGGCACTTTGCTCTACATTTGGGTTTTCACTGAGTGTTAATAACATTTGGGTTGCATTGTTAGTATATATATTTTAGTTATTGTCAGTATCTTCGAAATAGTGCGAGTAAATTAACAGAGTCGTTGCGTTCAAAAAAATTGACAGAGTTGTTGCATGCATGGTAGGCCTGTTATTGTTGATACAACTAGGAATTAGGAGATAATAGTAAGCTTAACCTAATTTGTAAGGTCCATTGAAAATCTTCTTGAATATGTGATGTTGAATTGTTGATAGCATGATACTAGAGGATTTGTGAAATTTAATAAGGATCATTTTATATGAGTTTCTCTTGGCTCATCAGAAGAATTATATTATTGCAATCTGATGGCCTCAGGCTAATATGTCTAGACACATATAATCCTTTTTTTATGATGTCTTGATAACATATTTGGGCAATATGACAATTTTCATGTTCAACTCTTAATGGGTTAGTCTTACTAAGCTACTACTATGATTGATCATTGTTTTAGGAACAAACTGCATGTCCACCTGGTTGCATTTGTGATGAGCAACAAGACTGGAAATTCGAGGAACTCTTGTTGAATCACCTGCAAGAAGTTGAAATCACTGAGTTGAGAGGATCTGAACATGAAGTTATCTTTGTGAAGCATCTACTCAGGTGGGCTACAGAGCTAAAGAAAATGACAATATTTTTCAATTCTTTGGTGACTGAAAGCATGGCCAGGAAGTCGTACCAGATACTACGAAGGTTCTCTAGGCGAGAAATATGCATGGAATTTTACATGGATAAGGACACGGTGATGGTGCCGTATGTGCCCAAAGACTAAAGCACTAGCTAGCTGCGCTACTACTTGAAATCAGTTTAAGCGCTAGACATCGGCAAAAGCCAAGGGGCTGTTTCGAGTTTGGTTGTTTAGAATGGGGAAATCTCTACAATTTTACGTGTATTGATTTACATCGATATTGCATCAGAAGTCCAAGGACCAGGGTGTGACTAAGAGCTGACTGTTGTTTTTCTTGTTTTTACATCAACACTTTTAGCTTGTAAATTAATAATGCAAGCTGTTGCAATGCTACCATTCCTAGGCTATTACATTACATATGCTCTTGTGTTTATTGATCACATATATATGATGCTTTTTTTCTTTTTGTGAATGTTTACATTTAATTTGGTTCTTTAATTAATTTTTCTTTTGAAATGCAAGCTTGAAATGTCTATGGTCTACTTATCTGGCTTGCTTTGAAGAGGGGAAAACAGTGTTGTTTCTGTAAATTCAGGAGGTTAATTTGACTAGTAGGCCTGTTTGCATAGGTGATCTTGACTGTTGCTGGCTCCCATGCATGCTTAGGTCACCAAAAAGAGATCGATGCACATTAGCAGTTAGGTGAGATTATGAGTGCCACCACAGTACTGAGTTGAGTGGAGACACGTAACGCCCCGACCCGGGAAGACAGCTAAGGTCTATTCTACACGTTGAATGAACTACACCTGCTAATTAACTCTCTTGTGCTTTCGTCCTCGCTTCGCGCAAAAGGATCGATCCAGAGTTAACAGCCTCCTAGGTCCAGGCTTTTATCATGGCTTAGCTCTCCTCCAACTTCCAGCATGTTACAGTGTCGCGAATTCGGTCCGTCCCAACTGGCTGGGTCTCACATCCACCCACCCTCAAATGATTCGACGTCCTCAACGAACGCTGAACCAAGCTACCTAGTAGGACAAATGTCCAGGACCGACTCTCTTGGCCACGTTAGGGGCTTGATTCTGTTAGTCCTTCCCATTTGTACATTCTACACTCTGTGCAGTTCAGGATGCCACGCCTCAAGAGCAGCAGGCTGTGGATGTACCTCCTGAGATTCAGCTTCTGCTGCAGAAGTTTTCCTCTATGTTTGAAGAACCTACTGAGCTGCCTCCGTCCCAGGCATGTAATCATCGTATTCCTCTGATTCCGGGCGCTCAGCCCATTTTCACTCGTCCATATCGGTACCCGCCCGGTTTAAAGGATGAAATTGAGCGGCAAGTGGGTGACATGCTAGCTCAAGGACTGATTCAGCCGAGCCATAGTCCGTTTTCTTCCCCATATTGCTCGTCAAGAATAAGGATGGATCCTATCGGTTCTGCGTTGATTTTCGTCAGCTGAATGCAATCACAGCGAAGTCCAAGTTTCCGGCACCAGTTTTTGATCAATTGATGGACGAGCTTACTCATGCCAGTTGGTCTCCAACCTGGACCTTCACGCCGGATTTCATCAAATCTTACTGCATCCGGGTGAAGAACCGAAGACAGCCTTCCAGGCTCACCTCGGCCAATATGAGTTTCGTGTCATGGCCTTCGGCCTTACCGGCGCCCCTGGAACCTTCCAAGGTGCAATGAATGTCACTCTGGCTCCCGGTTTGCGCAAATTCGTCGTTGTATTCTTCGACGACATTTTGGTAAATAGCAGATCCTATGAAGAGCATCTTGTTCACCTAGCTGCTGTATTCCAATGGTTAGCTGCGGACAAATGGAAAATCAAGCTATCCAAATGCACGTTCGCGCAGCGCTCAGTTGCTTATTTGGGACACATCATCAGTGAGCGCGGGCTGTCCACAGATCCTGCTAAAATTCAGGCAATCATGAGTTGGCCAGTGCCCAGGTCTGTGAAAGAGCTGCGTGGCTTTCTCGGTCTCGCAGGCTATTACCGTAAATTCATTCGGCACTTCGGTCTTATTGCTAAGCCGTTAACGGAGTTGCTAAAAAGGATTCCCTCTTTATCTGGACTTCTATCCATGAGTCGGCCTTCAGAGCTCTCCAGTCGGCCCTCAGCTCTGCACCTATGCTCGCCCTGCCAGACTTCTCGCAGCCTTTTCATATTGAAACAGATGCTTCACGCAATGGTGTGGGTGCAGTTCTGTTGCAAAACGGCCACCCACTGGCATTTCTCAGTAAGCCGTTGAGCAGCCACAACCTGGGACTTTGGGCGTATGAAAAGGAGTAGCTGGCCATTGTCATGGCTGTGGAACAGTGGCGGCATTACTTACTCCAGAATGAATTTATCATTCATACTGATCACCGCAGCTTGGTCCACCTCAACAAGCAACGTCTCCACACGCCTTGGCAGCAGAAGGCGTTCACCAAGCTTTTGGGGCTGCGCTACAAGATCCATTTACCACAAGGGTGCCGACAATGGAGCCGCTGACGCGCTGTCCCGGCGGAACCACTCGCTTGAGGTGCTCGCAATCTCTTCACCTATTCATGACTGGTTGCTCGAGCTCCAGCAGTGGTATGCTTCTGATGCTGACGCCAAAGCTCTCCTGGCCAAGTTGTCTGTCCAGACTGACCCGGTGTCGCCATTCTCTCTGCGCAATGGTCTCATAATGTTCAAGCAGCGCATCTGGCTGGGCTCTAACAAGGCCTTACAGAACCGAGTCCTTGCTGCCCTGCACAACAGCCCCGTTGGCGGTCACTCGGGTGCACCAGTTACGTATCAGAAAATTCGTCAGTTGTTCTATTGGCCTGCTATGCGGAAGGATATACTCCGGTTTGTGCAAGCTTGTACAGTGTGTGCCCAGGCCAAACCTGACAGAGATCGCTACCCAGGGCTGCTTCAACCGCTACCAGTACCAAAGGGCTCTTGGGAGATCATCTCAATGGACTTTGTGGAGGGCCTCCCAACTTCTGGTTCGGCCAATGCTATCCTGGTCGTTGTTGACAAATTTTCAAAGTTCGCCCACTTTGTGCCATTGTGTCATCCTTTTACTGCTGAATCGGTCGCCAAGCTGTTCATGGATCATGTTTACCGTTTGCATGGGCTGCCTAATTCTATCATCACAGACCGAGACCGCGTATTCACCAGCAAGTTTTGCCAAACCTTGTTTCGCTTGGCCGGCGTGCAGCTGTGTATGAATACAGCTTACCACCCTCAGTCCGATGGTCAAACCGAGCGGGTGAATTAGTGCTTGGAAACCTATCTCCGCTGCTTCGCACATGCCTGCCCACGCCGTTGGTCTCAGTGGTTGACTGCTGCAGAATTTTGGTACAATTCAAGCTCTCATTCAGCCTTGGGGCGTTCACCCTTTGAAGTACTCTATGTTTATCCCCCGCGGTACATGGGTCTCGATATTTCTGCCGCCTCTGAGGTACCATCTCTTTCTGCCTGGATGCATGACCGCGACTTAATGCATAGCTTGATCCAGCAACACCTACAAAGAGCTTCTGAAAGGATGAAGCGTCATGCCGAGTTGCCGACAAGCACCGATCCGAACGTCGCTTTGCAGTAGGTGATTGTGTCTTTTTGAAGCTGCAACC